ATTATTATTATTATTTTTGGCTTGTTCTCTATGTGCACAGGTGACTTGTAGAGCATGTGCAGGACGAAACTGTATGAAGCAGCCTAAAACCATAATAAAATATTTGGTGAACGACCCGTGGCATCTGCTTTGAAATGACGGTGTCGGTTCCAAGCCAGCCGGTTTACGCAGAGCAGATCTCCGAGGCCACGGGTATTTCAGCAGCAGCTCGGCAGGAGAGAACTGGCCGGTCCTTGGGACCAGGGATGATGTTTTTGCCAGGCAGGGAGCTGGGAGGAGCCGGGATGAGGAGAGAGGAGCGGGAACGGGGCCGGCGGGGGATGCGGGTGCCCGAGGAAGGGAAGGAGGCGGCATCGCCTCGGCTTCTTCTCCTCCAAGGGCTGAAGCGCTGGGGATTATCGGAGGCGAATTTTCTGAGAGGAACGAGGGGAAGAAAATGAAAAAAAAAAATAATATTATGGAGAGGAATTGTTGGGGCACAGCCCGCCGGGGAAACTGAGCTTCCTTCCTCACCTGGCAAAGGCGAGGAGAAGATGGAGAATGAACAGTTCTCCATGCCAGTGAAAGGCCATAACGGGGGCTAAATTACCCCAAATCGGGACCTCTGCGATGTGCCCGTGGCTGTCCCCACCATCCGCCTCCCTCGCTTTGTTTTGCTGGAGAAGACCAAACGCCAGGTCCAAGGAGCGTGCTAAGCTTTTTTCCCCAGCAGAAGGATTTTATATTATACAATTTGACATTGATCTTTAAATCGCCTGAGCTGTGCTTTTTTTGTCTTCTCGGTCTCATCGCGTTTACTTGCCTGTCCTCAGAGAGATGCCTTCCCGGTAAGCTGATTGCTTGGCTCGATTTATTTAGCAGCCGCAGCCTGGCACCGGGGGAAGCCGGGCAGCGCTGGCAGCAGAGATGCCCCGGCTCCGGCTGCCTGCGAGGGGCAGGGGCATTTCAGCTCCGTGATGGTTTAATTCAGCCCTGCTGCCTTTTTTCGGGAGGGATGTTCCCGTCTAGGCAGTGACTTCTGCCCCTCTAAGTTTGAATTTAAACCTGGATTCAAGGCGTTTACACCCTCATGCCTAAAGCTGCGTTCCGTCCCCAATGCATGTGCCTTGGTTTTCCTTACAGATTATTCCAGGGATGGGGCGGGTAGCAGGAATTTTTTAACTGTTTTTTCAAGTCAGGCATCTCTTTTCAATTTACAGGCAGCTCTTTCCCTGGTGGACAGGCAAATAATTTACATTTTAGGAGTGCTGAGGGTCGGATCGCAGGGCGGGGAGCAGGGGCAGAGCAGGGATCTCCACCTGAGTTTGGGGTACCCACCTACGGGAGGTCAGGAGAGCACTTTGCACCCCAAACCCTGAGGTTTGTTGCCTCCTGAACCCCACTGGATTTAAGCCGTGCAGGAAGAGCCCGGCTGTGCTGTTTAAGCGCCAAACGAGGTTGGGGTTTTATCTTGGGTTTGGGGTTCGTTGATGGGCAACACTTCCCACCCATAAGGTTGTTTTGGGAGCAAAAGCAGTGTTCGCCCTCAAAACGGAATCTGCTGAAATACACCTTTTTTTATTCTTTCTTTATTTCTTTTCCTTCTCGGAAAATCGGTGAATTGGGTTCAATTTCTCCCTCGGCTTCTGCGGGCAGAGTAGCAGCCCTTGTTGAGGCGAATTAAAGATATAAAGAGAGCAGAGAGCACATGCGCTCAGCGTAGGCTAACGCGGGATTTCTTTGCCACTAAAAAATTTGTTCAATGGGCAGCGGGGATGATATTGTCTCTTTCGACAGAGGGTTTGGGTGTGGTGAAGGATGCGGCATCTCCCGAGAGAGTGCAGGGAGTGAGCGGAGGGACCCTCCCGCGGGTGCTGACGGCAAGAGCACAAACCAACCTTCGGAAAGAGTGGCCGGGGTGGGGAAAAGAGCACGGAGCCCCTGTGGGAAGAGCAGCCCCGCTGCCCGGCCTTGCTTGTTATGGGAGAACGGGAGAAGCGAGCATCTCCCAGCTCCGCTTCTCCACAGCCGGAGCCGTGGAGCTGCATCCACGCCTTCAGTTCGACCAACAAGACCCAAAATAAAAACCCGCAGTTTCCCCACCCCGTCCCCTCATTTGTTATTTTTTTTCCCAACTGTTCTTTCCCTTCCCTTATTGAATGTCCTTCCCCAGGTTTTTCAGGAATTTTTTTCCCCCTAAAGATCAGCCCAAGCCATCGCCCTCCCAAGCCTCTGGTTGTTTTTAAAATAATAATAATTACAAGCGGGTAAGAGTGAAGGAGCTTGTATTTACATTAAACAAAACGCTCCGAAAAGGGTCACTAAAAAGTCTGCCTTGACCCCTCTCTCTCCGGCTTAACAAAGAAGGAAAATATTGTATCAAAAGTGAAGTGAATGGGGGAAGGCGGAAAAGAGAAACAGCTTTTCCTCTCTTCAGCTGGGAAGGGGGGAGAAATGTTTGAATGTTTCCGTTTCTTTTGAGAAGCGGGGCAGCCCCGGGCAGGGCTGAATGGGAAAGTCTTGTAAGCGGGCTGGGAGGCTGTCAAACTGCTCAGAGGTAATCACTGCTAATGAAGGGGTCTCCAGCCCTCCCTGGGACAAAGGATGCTTACAAGTGCTAGCCGGGACTGAATACCTAATAAGTTTGCAAGGGGGAAAAATGAGTGAGCTGTCTGTAAATTGATTTTGTAAGAGAAAAAAAAAAAAGGAAAAGCAAAAGGCTTGCAGGTTGGGGAGAGAGCCTGGCTCTGGTGCAGCTGGGGACAGAAGGCCCACTTATCCAGGGAGCATTGTCCCAGTCCTGCACTGCAGAGGAGGACTGCTGCTGTTTGCAGTGGAAACTGTCATGGAGGGAGGGCTGGGGGATGCAAGAGCCTTGCAAAAACCACACCAACCCCTCCAGGCCAGGAGTGCTGCCCCAGCTGCTGCCTGGCCCATGTGGGTGCTCCCTGCACACTCATCCTCACATCCCAGTCTGCACAATCCTTGCAGAGCCTTCATCCCATCCCCATCCCCATCCCACAGCCCAGTCCCACAAAAGACACTGCTCCCCATTTGTTCTGCCTTTTGCCCCTTGTCTAACCAAGAGGTTTTCTTTGCACAACAGAAAAATGGGTGTCTGTAAATTTATTGA